TTTGCAATCATTATTTTATGTTTTTATTAGGATGAGTTTACTAAAGCAATGGTATGCCAGCTTTTTATCCACAGGAAAGTTTAGCATCAGCTGAAATGTAAGATTTGTGGTGTATTAAGGAAGAAGCACATTTGCCTATGCTTTGGTGTCTTCTTTAGACATTCTGGCAAAGGAGTTTTAAATTGAGAAGGTTTCTTTTCTGCACTCCTTTTTTGTTTTACTATACTTTATCCATAGCGTGGGTTCATAGTTCACGTCTGAACATATAAAATGGCTTGGTTTGTTATTAACGGTATCAAAACACATATGCATCCAAAAATCACAAGTAAGCTGTGTGTGGAATGTAAATACAATAAAATTTTTTTCAAGTGTATGCCATTTAGCTATGCAGTGCAATGGTGATCCTTCAAAAAACCAAAGTTAAATGGTGGTTAGAACACATTACTAACTTTAACAATATAGAAATTAGAATTTATTGCAAGTGAAATACGACAATTTGCTTATCTACCTGTGCACCTCCCACTGAAATGTGTAAATAAAGAAAAAAACTAGCCTTGTCATTGCTTTATCAACAAGAACTACCATTAAAAGCAGCTGGTCTTGTGGTAAGTTAAGAAATCAGAACTTCCCTTTAAATTACAGGAACCTGAAAACTCGCAAATGAAACATACTGATTTGGTGATATCAAGGTCAGTATATACTTCACAGATGGTAAGAAACAGTGCAAGAAACATACTTATTGACTTAGGTAGAGGTAAGCAAAACGTCAGCAAAATTTAGAAAACAAAATATTTGGAGTTTGGACCACCTGTGGAAGGAATTCCTAAAAATGAGAGAAGGAACAATTAAGTCTTCACTGTTTTGCATCAGCTGCTAATTAAAACATGGGCTGCTTCCTCCTGAAATGCAAACTCTTTTATCGTGTGGTTTGATGGCACACTTTGAGTTTAAGTTCAAGTTAGGCTGGTCAAGAAGAAGGCAAAATCAAGAACTGTCTTCAGGCTTAGACTTTGAAGTAACACTATTTATTGTGAGATAACAAGGTGTCGAGCTGGATGAACACAGCAGGTCAAGCAGCATCAGAGGAGCAGGAAGGCTGACGTTTCGGGCCTAGACCCTTCTTCAGAAATGCCTTCCTGCTCCTCTGATGCTGCTTGGCCTGCTGTGTTCATCCAGCTCTGCACCTTGTTATCTCAGATTCTCCAGCATCTGCAGTTCCTACTATCTCTGAAACTATTTATTACGTCTGTTATTTCAGTACCAGCTACATGGCTTTTTCCTGAGGCTGTCTCTGGGGCATCATAAAGAGCTGGAGGCTGGCAGCTTGGAAACAAGACATATCCCCAGTAGGCAGGACTGATGACGTGCCACTAATACCCAACTATGTGAGAGCGGGACCATGACTGAAGCATTATAGAACACACAATCGACATTATCAAGCTGCGTGAACTGCATGGGGAGCCCGATAATACCTGCTGGAACACAGGTTGTGGCCCACTGCATTCCTCGTAATCTTGCCATCCTGAGACTGCATCCCTTTGCATCAGAAGTGGGAGGCCACTTCAAGAGAAGTAACAGCCAGGCGTGCAAAAAAAAAGAGAAGGGATCTGGATTCCCTTCACTCCTGCCAGGTTGTCAGTAAGTGCCTGCTGAGACTCTGGTTCCCTTAGAACATCATCCCCAAAGCACTATGGCTCTACAATTTTCCTCCTTCCTATCTATCTATTATGTCCCATGCCAGCATCATCATCACTAAAATGCTGCACAAAAGTCACCTTTGTACAAGGACTTTATCCAGAAAATATCCAGCAATGCAAATGAAACAGAGATACTCATCCTTCTCTATTCATTTGTAGCGTCTCTTTTGTGTTGTTTTCCGTCCTTGTATCCTTCTACAGTGGTAACCCAATGACTGGAGCTGGTTACAAGCTGCTGACTTTGGAGCTTTTCTAGCCTTGTTAGAATGGTATGAATTTGTATATGAATTGTATGACTCTTGCTATGCTGAGAAGCAACAAGGGTACTGACGGAGTGCCAGTGATGTGAAACTGAATGCTGACATTCTGAGAGGAATGGAAGCTGGCACACAAATGATCTTTTCCATATGGCTTGGTTGCAACCCACTTGTTGCTGGTGATAAGTGATGATTCTGACTTTCTATGACCCTCTAAGGTATGTACTAAACATCTGAACCTGTGCCTGTAAATATGAGACCAAGCGATGGTGCTTCTTTCTCAGAGGCCTGTGGCAGTTCCTGCATTTCCTTGTGAGGCTGCAGTGGCTGATCAGGAATAGTTCTTGAGAAATTGGAAGCAGAAAATCACAAGGGGAGGAGGGTGCATGGGTAAAAAACAACTGATCCATGATCACATGATTTATAGCTTACAAATCATGCCAGAGTGCAGTAATGACAGGGTGTTGGGATATGAGATGAATTTTAAGTTAACCTGAATCTTACCAGGTGCAACAGCCTGATCCAAAACTTTGAGCACAGTCTCTTTCAGTAGGCTTGGGTGATGTAGGTTCACATGTCCCATCCAGTTTCACTCCACTTTGGCAGTTTAGGCCATCTTAACCGCCAAGAATGTCAGTGATTGTGTTACACTGTGTTAGGGGATCTGTCTGCCAACTGAATAGCTGGAGTATGTGTAAGCCGAGGGAGATGAGTATGAGGTTGCATCATTGGCTTGTGGATGTGGGTGAGGAACATCTGAATTATAGACCAGAATTCTAACAGTAAGGCACTGCTGATGGTTGAATGATGGGGAAGAGTGGTGTACTAAGCAGTGTAAGAGGCTAGTGGTGCAGTGAACTTGAGATATCATTTGACCACCTGTGTGAGATTAGAGAATTTCTTGAGGCACCGTTGCTAGGTCCTTGGATGAACTCACTGTGAATTGGAAACTCCATGCACAAAGAAAGGGAGTGAACCAGTTTTTAACCTCTTTTCAGCACATTTAGCTGAAATGATTTGATTTGATCTGATTTGATACATAGTCACATGTACCTAAGTACCGTGAAAAACTTGGTTTGCGAGCAGTACAGGCAGATCATAGTAGCAAGGACTTAGATTATACGGTGAAAATGAATTGGACAGAGTAAGGCATACAGGTTACACTGCACAGGACGTATGCAGGGCAAGATCAACATTAACAAGATCAGCATTATTGGAAGTTAGAGAGTCCAATCACCTCTAATAATGACAGAGAAGAAGCTGTTGTTGAACCTGCTGCTGTGTGTGTTCAGGCTTCTGTATCTTCTGCCCAATGGAAAAGGTTGTAGGACAGTATTACTGGGGTGGGATGGGTCTTTGAAGATGTTGGCAGCCTTTCTGCGGCAACAGGACATGTGAACGGAGTCCATGGATGGAAGGTTGACTTGCATGATGGTCTGGGTTGTGCACACAACCTTCTGTAGTTTCTTGTGGTCCTGGGAAGAGCAGTTCCCATGCTAGGCCATTATGCACCCAGTCAGTATGCTTTCTGTGGTGCATCCGTAAAAGTTGGTGAAGGTCCTTATGGAAACGCCAAATTTCCTGAGTCACTCGAAGAAGAAGAGGCGTTGTTGTGCCTTCTTGACCATCACATTTATATGGGAAGTCCAGGACAGGTTGTCAGTTATCATCACTCCTAGGAACTTGACGCTCTCAAACCTCACAACCTCAGCTCCATTGATGTAGAAGGGGGCATGTTCTCCTCCTTTCTTTCTGAAGCCAATTATCAGTTCTTTAGATCTCCGGACATTGAGACAGAGATTGTTATCATTGCACCACATCACCAAGTCCTCTGTCTTGCTTGTCATTGTTTGATATCCATCCTACGGTGTTGCCAGCAAATTTGTAGGTGGCATTCGTTTGGAATTTGGCATCACAGTCATGGGTGTGCAGGAGGGGACTGAGAACGCATCCTTGGAGGGCTCCAGTGTTGAATGTTATCAAGGAGAAGGTACAGTTGCCTATCCTCACTGACTGCGGCCTATGGTTTAGGAAGCTGAGGATCCAGTTGCAGAGCGTGGAGCCGAGACCTAGGTCTCATAGTTTTGAGATCAGACTGGAGAGGATTATGGTGTTGAAGGCGGAGCTGTAGTCGGTGAGCAGGAGCTTGACATAGGTGTCATTGTTGTCCAGATGTTCCATGGATCGAGATTATAATTGAGGCCTGCATGGTATCTTGGCTGCGGATACCCCAAGAATCAAGATTACAGTTTGTGGACTATGATAATATTAACGATGAAGGGCCTCATTGACTCTAATACATGATTATAGCACACTGCAACCAGCAAGCGTGGATTCTGGAGATAGGCCATAAGCTATGTGTAAAAAACAGATCTAGACCACAACTAGTTGCTTTGCAGGGACAAAGGGAGGAGAATTGTCATAATATTAAAAGAAAAATGATGACAGTCCAACAAGTCACAAACCATAATAGCGGTTTTCTGTATAAGTGACCAAGAACAGATTAATGGAGCAAAAACCGTTGTATTCTTTAAGGCAATAGGAATCCATGAATTCCGATAACACATGCCAAAAGTCTCTGACTCCAGCATCTGCAGCTCTTGCTATCTCCGAAAGGTAGTATAGTGAGATGCACTGCTGGCAAATGATGCTACCTGGCCAGAGAGAAGGGTGGACCTACTTCTGTTCTGTACAGTAAAGTCACTTAGTTTCTCAAAGTGACAGCTGTCATAAAACAACATACATTGAACTGAAGTGAACAAGGAACCACAGTATTTATCTCCATTGATTCGTTTTGTTCCCTGATTGCTACACAAAGTGGTTCATTCAAGAGCAAAATAATCTCCCAAAAGTACCACCTATTTTGATTGACAATCTACAAGGTTTAAAAAAGTACTCTTCCACCAAGCGTTAGATTGTAGATTAACTGTGAAACGTGAAGTGGTTTCTAGTACATGACCACTTCTGCAGGAACGATTTAGTCAGCAATTCACAGCCCCAATAAGAGCGTCATTGCCTGAGAGAATGGGAGGTAGTCATATGACCGGTCACATGACCCAGAGTGGGAATCTCCCTGTAGCAGTCTGAGTTGGTTCTGTTACAGTGTATGTCCTGACAGTTCTGTCCAGGGTTGTACACTTTACTTGATGTGTGACAGCTATGGCTGAGCGGACACCCTTACTCAATTACAGGCTGTGCGCTGTGCCCGAATCCGGCAGCAGCAGCAGCGCTGGCCGGACCAGGAAGGAAGCTCAGCATCCCGCGCCCAAAAAGCTGTCGACTTTCTTTGGAGTGGTTATCCCCACTCTGCTGTCGATGTTCAGTGTGGTGGTGTTCCTACGGATAGGTGAGTGCTCATTTCTCTTGGGATTGAACGTTCTTGCTTGAGTTTGTTGCAGTTTGACCTAGGTTAATATCCTGAAATTGGGAATTCCCTCCTGACGTCAGCTGTTGCTTGAGACTTGAGTTTGAACAGTGTTGATTCAAATACTGTCAGGCTTCACTTCAAACTGCTCCAAAATGGTGACTTTTAGCCATGTATTGAATTAAAAAGCGATGTAAGTATACCCTCGTAAGTAGAATAGGATATCTGAGGTGACAGCCTCAGATACCACGGAAGTTGGAAATCTGGAACAACCATAGAGATTGCTGGAGAAATCTAGTCGTCTGGTAGGCACTGAACTCGAAATGTAAACTGTTTCTGTTTCTGTTTCCACACATGCTACCAGATTTGCAGAGTTTCTCCGTATTCTGTTTGTTTCAGGATATCTGAGTTATGGATTCACTAGTAAGCAAAGTGCTTATTTATTCTGCTCTCTGTTCCTCTTTAAAAGACCACTAGACCCACTCACTTACAGTTTTCTCACTACCATGCAGAATGTTTCTTTTCAAGTGTTTGTCTGATTCCCATTTGAAAATTGATTGAATCCGCTTCAACCAAACTTTTTTAAGTCTAGATCATCACAATGTTCAGATTACTGATCTCGCTGTCATTGGAAATACTTTCTCCCTACCTGCTTTATCAAAACTTGTTATCATTTTGAACACTTACTAAACCTCTGTTTGACACTCTGCCTCGAGAACAATTGCCTTGAGGACTCTCCTGTTTTCTGTTCGTACCAGGTGAGGAGAGGTGAATTGACTTCCCTTTGATTTGCTTCTCCCTCAGTCTGTTGCTATTAATATCTTTATTTCCACTTAGCACTCAGCTATCACACTTCAGTTAAAATATAGTGAGAGTCAAAATTCAGGAACCAGTTACAAAGTTTTCTTGTGAAAAAAAGAAGAATCTTGATCCCCACAAATAAAAATGACATCTATCACACCACACAAACACAAGTATGAAGTTTTAAAAAGGGTGTCTCTTGCACAGACAAAAAGAATAAAAGCTGATTCAAAGATAGTAGGAACTGCCGATGCTGGAGAATCTGAGATAACAAGGTGTAGAGCTGAATGAACACAGCAGGCGAAGCAGCATCAGAGGAGCAGGAAAGCTGACCTTTTGGATTTGGACCCTTCTTCCAAACAAAAAAGGGTCCAGAACCACAGGGTCCAGACAGGAAACATTAGCTTTCCTGCTCCTCTGATGCTGCTTGGCCTGCTGTGTTCATCCAGCTCTACACCTTGTTACCTAAGAATAAAAGCTGCATAGTTTAAAGACCTCAGACTCCTTATGGTGTTAACTTAAGGTAGTTTTTTTTCAATAGTTGACTTTTCTCTTCAACAGTGGTGGTATCTGCAGATATCTTTGAATTCTCAATGAATAGTTATTTTTACACTTTAGTTTTCACCAGGTACTGTTTTTAAGAGGCTAAGAGAAACAATTGGGGCAAAAGACTTTCTGTTACATATCTAAGTTATTTTTTTTTCTTATGCTGCTCAAAAAGCAGCTGCTGAAATGTCATTCCTTTGTGTAACCCTGAGTCAGATTTCATTGTTTCTTGCAAATTGCCCCCCCTTTCATCTCTCAATAAGTGAATTTGTCGTAGGTGAAGTAAAACAAGAGATACAGATCTGACAATGTTAATTTTGGCTCAGATGGGTTTGTCTATTTCACATTGAGGCAAACTTCATAAAGTCAATCTCTAGTGAGGCCAACTCAGAAAGCTGTAAGGATATAGCTATAAGAATGTAGCAAAACTCCATGCTTTTCCATGTTGTCACCTTCAAAGATTTTTATGTGAAAACTCCAAGATTTCTTTGTTCCTGCTCCCCTTTGAGCTGCTGGTCACCTCATTCTTAAACTAATCACTTCACCAGTCTGTTTCCTTAAGAGGTTTGCTACTGTCTTACTCACTGTATTAGCTTTCCAAGTTTGTCATTGCATTTAATACAAAGGGATTGAGAGATTTATCATGTTCATCATTTACACCCCCACTAGATCAGTGAGGTCAGACTGGTATTTTCCTCCAACACAGTTGTTACCGATATGTCGTCACAAGGAAGTGTTTCTCATTCGTCTTGAGAACAAAATATTTATCACCTCTGCTGCTAACGCAGTTAATTTATCTGATACCTAGACTTAAATTCTGCAATTTAAAGAATACCTAAGTTCAATCTTGTCCAGTTACTTACAGTTTATAATTTCTTCTATTTCTTTCAGTGGCATTGGAGGTGATGAATGCAAAGTGCATTTTAGATACCTAGACTAAACCTGTCCTAGGCATTCACCCTGTGGCAGAACTTGTCTATAGAGTGATCACTCTTGCATTGGTGTACAGCTAAAAATCCCAAATTTCAACACAAATTTGGTTGTTAAAAAGGCAGCTAAGTGCTAATTGAAGTTTAATGATTCAAACAGCATTGCCCTGACAAACTTTAAAAATACATATCAACAAGTGAAAATAACAAAAAAAAAACACTCTCCACCTTGTGGTGATAGAAGTGTGAGTAATGGTTATGGGGAAACACTGTCCAAATCTTATTGCTGTGGTGGTGTCAGAGATGTAAAATGATAGACTAAGTGGTAGATCCTTCCGTAATAAATGCTGTAACTCGGACCCACACAACAAAACAAATAAACAGTGAGAGATACGGTAGTTGACTTCAGTAAGGCATGACCCGACGAGTGAAATGGTACACACACATGGCAGAAGACAATAGCTGCAGAGAAATAATGCTTTTAAAAATGAGATGAATGATAGATGATATTGTTAAATTGTGCAAAACTAGAGAAGCTTTAGCGTTTATATATGTGAATTCAGCTTGTCATGCAATGTTCTATTTTAGATGAAACAGAAAATAGAAATTGCTGGAGAAACTCAGCAGGTCAAATGGCATCTGTTTCAGGTTCAGTGGCTCTGCTTTCTCTCCACAGATGCTGCCAGACCACCTGAGTTTTTCCGGCAGCTTGTTTTGGTTTCAGATTTCCAGCTTCTGCAATCTTTTGTTTATCATTCTGTTATAATGATTGCTAATGATAAACCTACAAGAAATTGAATTTACTTCAGTTGTAGGGTCAAGTGGTTGCTGATTCATTGATCCGGCTGTGGACAGCCATATGTTTAACTATCTAGGCTTGAGAGTTTGCTTTTTATTTATTCATTTAAAGGAATTGGGCTTTTCTGGCTGGGCCAGCATTTATTGCCCATCCCTAATTGCCCACAGGGCAGTTAAGAGTGGACCACATTGCTGTGGGTCTGGAGTCACATGTAGGTCACGTAAGGACAGCAGTTTCCTTCCCTAAAGGACGTTGGTGAACTGGATGGGTTCTTCCGACAATCAGCAATGGTTTCATTAGTCGTCATTAGACTTTTAATTATTGAATTTTATAATATTTAAATCAAATTCCATCATTAGCCATGATGGGATTCAAACCCATTGATCACGCCTAGCACACACCCTGTGATTGTGAGTCTTTTTGATCTGTACATCCTTGTTTACTGTGATCTGCCCGTACTGTTTGTAAACAAAGCTTTTCACTGTACTTCGGTACATGTGACAATCAATCAATCAGAACATTACCTGCATCTTTGGATTAATGGCCTAGTTAGTATTATCACTAGGCTATCCACTAGTCTAGATTTCCCTTCCAAATTTCTTCAATTGTCCCTTAAATCTTGGCTGAACAGGCAGGTTTTTGGTAATTTACCTTTGTAAATCCTTTGGTGGTTCGTTGCCAAACTTTTTGAAAATGCTACTGTAACACAGCTTTGAACCCTTTATTTTGTTAAAGATGCTATATAGAAGCAAGTTGTCATATCTGAATTCTCCTTCAGTGGTTCTGGCATGTTTTAAATGTCCTCTTGCTTGTATAAAATTATAATTCTTCTCTGAGCTTCTGATTGGCCGTTCCAAACCAGACGTCGGTGGACATTCCAGGGTGTACACTCTCCTGGATACCAGCCTGTGAGTTCTCTGACTTAATTTAGGCCAAGTGGGACTCTTTTGCTGTCTCGAGTCTGCATTCTGGCAACAACTGGAATGGCCTGCCGGCCCGGATCCTCAAACGTTTTAACCGTTTGGCTGAGGTTTGGCTTTGATTTGGTGTTTTGCTGTGGGTTGATCTAGAACTCCTCTGTTCAAGCTACATCCTGAGTGAGGCTATGCAATTGCCTTCACTCAATTGGTGCTTCCCAAACTCAGTTGGCCTGGCAAGGGTGTCCACTTCCTTAGGAATACTCTGTCACTCCACTTTCTGCATTTTCTAATGATAAATCTAGTTGTAATGTCTGCTTGAAGTTCAGCTGGGTATCAGCTAATAGGGGTTTTTGCACAGTCACATCATTAGTCCCACATACCAAATGGTGTCTCGGCATCTCACTTACGGTTAAACCAAAATCACATGCCTCTGCCAGTCTTCTTAACCTCATCAAAAATCCTGATGCAGCTTCCCCGGGTTCTCAAACAGCCGAGTAAAACCGATAGAATTGGAGGAGGCTTGGAATCATAATATTCTTTAATTAAATCCATCACCTCTTTAAAGAGTTTAGTATCTGGTGCCTCAGGGATACTTAGGCTCCTAATAACTGAAAAAGCTGCAGGTCCACAAGCTGTCGGGAGAATTACTCGTTGCTTTTTGCCTGCCCTGATGTCACTTGGCCGGGAAGAAATCATGCATTCTTTCCACATACTGGGCCCAATCTTCAATGGCAGGATCGAATGAGTCAGGCCTCCCAAATAACAGCAAGATGCCAGAAATGCTTACCCCAACTCAAAGATGACTGTTACAAGCAAATCTCTTCAAGAGTGTTTGAGTTGGGGTAAGTGTTTCTGACATCGTGCAGTTATTTCGGAAGCCTGAGTGTTTTTTTTTCTTTTCATTGCCCCTGACATAACTCCATGAAGGCTAGTATCCTGTTACTGAGTAACAAATGCGTAGTACATGACACTGACCCAACTGACTAAGAGCCAGCTTCTAGAATCAACAGAACCTGATACTCCTCTTTGTATTGGTCAGCCAGGACTCTGTGACCCAGGTTAACAACCACTGCCACAATCAGGGAACTCAGATTCTATGAGGTCCACCTGACTGACCTCATTCCAATCACTTGACAGGGAGCTCTCTCGGCAACCCAGTGAAGATTTCTCAGGCATTTATATAACTTGTTCCTCGTGAGCGCTTTATGTTGCTGTTTTCTTTGGCTATAAGACAATGACTACAAATTTTTAAAGCAGTGAGGTGAAGATGTAAATTGTGTTTAATAGTTCCTGTTCCTTGCATCCATAATTGCTAGTCTTTGAACAACTTAAATATGACTCCCTTTCAGTCAGAAGCTTCCTCATTTTCTAAAAGTATTCACTGTGATGTGGTGCTTTTTGCCTACTTCTTTGTCCTTTCCATCTGGACCTTCTTGAATAAACAAGGATAAAGAATGTTAATGAACTATTTGATTTTAAGGTGCATCGTAAACTCAATTAGTTTACATTGGGATCATTAGTGACTTTAAACTATTAACTGGGCTATTTGGGCCTGTTGTAGTATGCCTACTCCCATCCTTATTGAGATCAGTGGCCTGGATTGAACTCCTGTTTATTGTAGGAGGCAATAAACATTGGAAGTTATCAGCAAATTATCAATCAATTCATTTGTCAAGACTTTTTTACTTTGTTTTGTTAACTTGATACGTGGTGAATGTTGCAGTTCATCTTCCTCTTTCAGTTTGAGTCACAGTGTGAGTAGATTTGTTCTGAAATTATTTCCTACACATCTAACATAGTTATTTTTATGTAGTGCAAATGTATTTCTTTTATAAAATGATTTTTTTTTTTCATTTGAAGGTTTTGTTGTTGGCCAAGCAGGATTATACCAGAGTATACTCATGTTCATTGTGGCATATTTCATCATAAGCATGACTGTACTGTCAGTGTGTGCTATATCTACTAATGGAGCATTGGATGCTGGTGGTGCCTACTGTATCTTTTAATGTTATGATTTCAAGTTAATTAGCTTTGTGTGTTAATTTTGAGCAAATCTAGACTCAATGTATTGACATTTAAATTGTAAAATAAATCAATTGAAAATACATAACAGGATGACAATAATGTTTCCAATGGCTGGTACTAATTGAGTGATGATCTGATCAAAAACATGAGCAGTGTTTTTTTACGCAGAGAGTGGTTCATGTGTGGAATGAACTTCCAGAGGAAGAGATGGATTTCGGTAAAGTTACAATGTTTAAAACTTAGATAAGGACATGAATAAGAAATGCGTAGAGGAATATTGGCCAAGTATAGACAGGTGGGACTGGTTTGGTTTGGAATTATGGTCGGCTTGGACTGGTTTGACCGTAGGGCCTGTTTCCATGTTGTATGACTCAATAAGTAAATTTGGGCCAGCAATCTTCTTGTTTTTGGGTCAAGGAACATCTTTGATTAAACTAATAATCTGTTGATCAATTTTACTTTATTGGTCTTTCAATATCTACTTGGTGGATATTTCTTGTAGCATTTCCATTTACTTAAATTGGGAAGTTTGTAGGGTATAATATTGGTAGCAGATGTGATACAAGAAATTCAGAAGAGAATGTTGGTAGGAAAAGGAAGCTGGAGTAGGTTATTCAACCGCTCGATTCTGTTTTATTGTTATTTATATCATGGTTGTTGTGTACCTTTAGTTACATTTGCCTGCTAATGATTTTTATATCTTGATTCTTTTACCTCATTTAAAACAAAAATCAATTCATTCCTGAAAATGTGGATTGACTCAGGAGAGAGATTTTTACTTCTGTACAATTTTGGGTGAAACTCGAGTTTAAAGATTGTACCTCTAACAGAGCAAATAGCTTCTCAGTGTCTACTCTATGGAGATGTTTTGTTCCCTTAAATCTTTAAACTAATCACCTTAACTTATCTGAAGTCAAGGCAATGCAAATCCTCTGCAAATTGTCTTCATTTTTTAATCCTTTAATACCTATCATCCACTGAATCTGTGTTGCAGTTCTATCAAGTCAACATTAACCTGAGGTATGATGTTTAAAACTGGGCCCATGACTCAGAATCATAGAATTTTATAGTACAGAAGGAGGTCATTTGACCTATTGTATACATATTGGCTCCTGAAAGAATTACCCAGCTAGTCCCATATAAAATCACAGTACAGAAGTTTAGATCGGTCTAGCCAAGCAGAAATAATGGTTTGTCCATAAATCTGCAGAAATAGAGCAAGGGTTTATGATTTGTAAACAGTTAGATTTTTCTTTAATAGTTCATGGAACTTGTGTATTGTTGGAAAGCCGAGCATTAGTTGCCAATCCCTGTTGCTCTTGAGTAGGTAATGGTGAACTGGCTTCTTGAACTGATGTGTCCATGTGATATAGCTTAAAGGTGTGGCGCTGCTGAATTTGGTTATTTGTTGCTACATTATACACATCCCTTCCCAGTCCCATTATCATGCATAAGAATCATTGCCAAGTTTTATCTACTGTGTTCAACCCATTGTAAAACCAGAGACTAAAAGATTGGGAAAATGCATAATTATTTAATTTCTTCCTTCATAAACCTCCTGAAAAATGCACTTGCTGACTTTTGTCAATTTTCACAAGACACTAAAGCCTTGTGTGTTCATCCTCTTAGACCACTGCACATTACACCACATGCACCTGCTGTTATAAATGCTGACTTATACATATTTAAAATATCATTCATTTTACATGGGGGGGGTTTGAATTTTGAGGTTGTAGCATGTATATTGGTTTCTGTGTGTCTGAAGTTAATGATTAACATGTAAGTATTTCTGTAGCCATGGCAATTTCTTTCAATAGTTTGTAAGGGCTACTTTGACATCTTAATGGATGCTTGCTTCCTTTAGGATGTTTTATGACCTAGCAAGGTAGACGTTTGTACCTCAAGGTTTTTTTTATTGGAAATTTCTGGAGTGGGAGCATTCTTAAACTTTAAGAAAACGCCCATAGTAAAGAACGAGAGCGAGATTTTTTTGTTTTTATGGGCAGTTCTGTGAAGTCCTTGCATGAAGATGTATGTATACAGCAGTGCTCCTGAGAAGAGGAGAGTATAGTAAAATAGATTACCTTAGAGTAAGGAGATAACCAACACTTCTGGTTTGGGAATAAATCTCTTCAGAAGACATGAAGATGAGTTTGTTTAAATTTGGATGTATGTTAGCTCTAGGACTAAGCTGTTAGAGGTTCCAGTTTCTTGGGAATTGATGTCATAATTACCTTAAATCTGTCATGTGACAGAGAAAGGGATTCTGATATGAGTGCTATATAATAGTTGCTGTGGAGTAGTGTAGAAGTGATTCTTTTGAAACCTGTAAAAGATTATTTTGATATTAATGTAATTATAATTTTACTTTTCTTAGAACATAGGATAAGAACAAGGAGCAGGAGTAGATAATTCAGCCCCTTGGGCCCATTCTGCCCTCGATACGATCATAGCTGATCTCATCTTGGCCTCGACTCCATGTTCCAGCTCGTTCCCCTGAACTCTTCAAACTGTTAATAATTTAAAAATCTGTCTGTCTATTTCTTCCTTTAAATTTACTCAATGTCCTGGCATCCACCATACGCTGGGGTGGTGAATTCCACAGATTCACAATCCTTGAGAGATGTAATTTCTCCTCATCTCTTTATAAAATCTGGCACCCTTTTCCCTCGAACCTCTCGGTTAAAACTTCAAATTTGAACTAAGTAAATATTTTGGTTTATTCTGTTTTTTTATTTTTTAAAAGGAAATCCACAACATTGTGTGCTTCTGTCTCAGTGAGAGACCATCTCATTAATACCAAAACAAAACGAACTATAATTTACCAAGCCAGATTTAAGTCTGGCATCTGACTTTTCTAATAATAACAACATCAGCTGAGATCATCATAAATGGGCAAATCATGCATCTTCCCTTGAGATTTCTCTGTATTTTATTTTGTGTTTATTGTTGATTATCATAGTGTTTCAAGATAAAGCGAAACATTTGTACTGCCATGATCTATTAGAATTCTACTGGAATTCTACATCTTTTACTACTCGGATTTGAATGGGATAGTCTTCACTGTAAACTCTCCCAATGTTCACGAAAACTGTAATCCTCATGATGTGCCAAATACAAAATTACAGAACAGGCATATTTGCAACATGAGCTTCCAATGGTGGTGTAAAATACATGTCATCAAAATAATTTTCCTGTATTTATGGTACTTTTCGGTTAAGAAAGCAATTTTTCATCATCATTTCAAACAACACAGGTTTTTCAAGATGTTTCTACTTTCCAAAACAAAACTGATCACCTAGAATTTCAAAATGAAACAAAATAATTTGCCAAATGGATAATGGCCAAACACTAGTACAGTATGCTGAGCGCTTATCCTGTTTTGATCAATTAACTTGTATAACTAGGAGTTGGTGAAGTATGAAGGAGCAAATAGTAAATTAATTGAGGTGTGAAATTGACCTAAGATTGAAAGATAAGGAACATGGGCCTCAATTTGCTGAAAGCTTATCATAGGAAATGTGCATCTATGATATTATGGTGCAAAGATTGCAGAAATTATGGCATGAGTAATTTATATTGGGACATGCACCACACCATTGTTTACTGGGAATTTTGCATTACCTTTAGACAATTATTACAGCTTCATCTCCAAATAAAAGCAAGGGTGAGATCAAGTTTGCTGAATAAATACCATATCATGATAGTCACAGCCACTTTAAATGGAAAACATGAAATCTTGTGAAATGTTCATTAGATTCACGTTTGCAAAATTTACACGAAGCTTCCGTCAAATAAAATTCACTAGACTTGGTGTTGCAAGGGAATAGAATTAAAGTGCAGCTATTTTTAAACAACACTTGCAATCAAAGGACAGTACAATTTATTTAAAAACATTATGAGTAATAAAGGAACAGGAAGTTGCCTAACTTTGTTGGTTACAGGTTGGACCAACCTCCTTTTTCGTATCAGTTTACCTTAAGGAATTATAAGCAGTTTTATCATAGAGTTATAGAGTCATACAGCATGGAAACAGATTGTTTGGTCCAACCTGTCCATGCCGACCATAATTCCAAACTAAATTAGTCCCGCCTGCCTGCTCCTGGCTCATATTCACTCCAAACCTTTCCTATTCATGTACTTATCCAAATGTCTTTTAAACATTGTAATTGTACCCGCACCCTCACTTCTTCAGGAATTCAGTGAACCACCCTCCTATGTTTAAAAAAAAATTGCCTCATGTCTTTTTAACATCCCTCTCCTCTCACCTTAAAATTGTGACCCCTAGTGTTGAAATCCCCCATCCAAGGGAAAAGACAACTACTATCAACTCTATCTATACTTCTCATTATTTTATAAACTTCCATCAGGTGGTCTCTCAATCTCCGACTCTCCAGTGAAAAAATTCCCAGCCTATCCAGCCTTTCTTTATAACTCAAGCCTTCTATACCTGGCAACATCCTGGTCAATCTCTTCTGAACCCTCTCCAGCTTGATAATATCTTTCCTGTAACTGGGCAACTAGAACTGGACACCGTATTCCAGAAGAGGCCTTACCAATGTCCTGCACAACCTCATGACTTCCCAGCTCCTATACTCAAAGGACTCACCAATGAAGGCAAGCGTGTCAAATACCTTTTTAAACCATCCTGTCTATATCTGATGCAAACTTCATAGAATTATGAACCTGCACCCCTAGGTCCTTCTGTTATACAACACTGGCCAAGGCCCTACTGTTAATTGTATAAGCTGTACCCTTGCATTTTGGCACAACAAACAATACCTTGCATTTATCCAGATGGAACGCCATCTGCCATTTTTCAGCTCATTGATCCATTTGATCAAGATCCCTCTGTAATCATGGAAAACCTTCTTCACTGTCTACAATGCCACCAACAATGGTGTTGTCTGCAAACTTACTATCCATGCCTTCTATGTTCTCATCCAAATCACTTATATAAATGACAAATAAAAGAGGACCCAAAACCAATTCCTGTGGAACACTGCTGGTCACAGGCCTCCAGTCCAAAAAGCAACCCTCCACTATTACTCACTGTCTCCTGCCGTTCAGCCAATTATGTACCCAACTGAATCCCATGTGATCCAACTTTACTAATTAGTCTACCATGTGGAACCTCGTCAAAGGCTTTACTAAAATCCAAGTAAATAATCTCTACCGCTCTGCCAACATCAATCTTTTTGGTAACTTCCTCAAAAAACTCAATCAAGTTTGTGAGACACAACTTTCCTCGCACAAAACCATGTTGACTATCCTCAATCAATTTTTGGCTTGCTAAATGTCTATATAGCCTATCTTTTACAATCACCTCTAACAATTTAACCACAACCAAAGTCAGACTGACAGATCTATAGTTCCCCGGTTTCTTCTTACAACTTTTCTTAAATAAATGTACAATATTAGCCACGCTCCAATCATCAGGCAACTCACCTGATGATAGATGATGCAAATATTTCTGTGAGATATCTTATAATTTCCTCCCTTACTTCCCCGCAATGTTAGGTCCCAGAGATTTATCCACCTTAATATTCTCTAAGATCTCCTGAACTTCCTCGTCTGTATTGTGAACTGTTTTTAAAACGTCAAAATTTATTTCTCTGCATTCTCTAGACTCCGTTTCTTTCTCCACGGTAAAAACTGACACAAAGTATTCATTTAGTACCTCTCCCATTTCCTGGGGTTCAACACAAAGACGGCCCCCTTGATCTTTAAGAGGTCCTACCCTCTCTCTAATTACCCTCTTGCTCTTAATGTATTTGTAGAACCTCTTTGGATTATCCTTAACCTAATCTGCCATATCCCCTCTTTGCCTTCCTGATTTCTCTCTTAAGAATGCCACCATGCTCTTTATATTGATTAAGAGATTCAATTGAACCAAAATGTCTATATCTAAAATAAGATTCTCTTTTGCTCTTGAATAGAACCTCAGTGTCTTTATTCATCCATTGTTCGTTAATCTTAACAGCTTTACCCTTCACTCTCTAACAGAAACATAATGCCTCTGAAGTCTCGTCATCACACTCTTGAACGTCTCCCACTTGTGAGACATCCTTTTACCTGTGAGCAGTCTACTCCAATCAACTTTTGAAAGTACTTGTCTCATACCATTCAAATTTGCTTTACTCCAAATAAAAACTTTAACTTTTTCAGAAGGCTTATCTGCTAGACCCAAAGTGTTCTCCCACTTTTACTTCAGTCACCTGCCCTGCCTTATTGCCCAAAAGAAGGTCTAGTTTTGCTCTTTCTGTAGTAGGAGCATCCACACATTGATGAAGAAAATTTTCTTGAACACATTTGCCAAATTCTTCACCATCCAAACCTTTAACACTATGGTATCTCCCGTCAATGTTTGGAAAATTAAAATCCCCCATTATTACAACCCTCATGTATATCTGAGACCTCCCTACATTTTTATTTTCTCAATTTCCCTCTTACTATTGGGGGTCTATAGTACAATCCCATCACTGATCTTTCCTTTCTTGTTTGTAATTTCTACCCATATATTTTCACTGGACAATTTTTCAGAAATATCTCCCCTAGTTACAGCAGTAATGTATTCCTTAATCAAAAACGCTACCCCAACCCCCCGGCTCCTTTCTTGCCTCCTTTCCTATAGTATCTAAAACCTGGAACCTTGAGCTGCCAGTCTTGTCCATCTCTTAACCAAGTTTCTGTAATAGCTTTGACATTCCAATCCTGTGTTGTTAAATACGCCCTGAGTTCATCAGCCTTACCTGTAAGAGCACTTGCAATGCAATAACTGCAGTTTAGCTCTTCAGGTTTACTATATACTCTGACTCTCTCTGTCTTTCTTTTCTCATTGACCTGCTGTCCTCATATTCAGAACCTTCCCCATTAATCCTCCTTACTTAAAATGCTACTTAGAATTCCTCCACTCCCTCTCTATCTTAGAATAAAGCCTCCCTTAATGGAATGAGCAAATCTCCTTGCTAAGATATTGGTGCCTTTCCAGTTCAGGTTAGACCCATCCGTTTTGAACAGGTATTTTCTATCAGAAAAGATATTCCAATTGTCCAAAAACCTGAATCCCTGAACAATACGCCAGGTCCTCAGCCATTGATTTATCTCCTTTTAACCTTTTTCTCCTTCCCTAGTTTGATTTTGGCATTGGGAGTAAACTAAAGATTAATACTTTTAAGGTTCTATTTTTTAATCTTCTACCAAACCTCTTAAATTCACTCTGTACTGCTTTAATCTTTTGTTAAAAATGTCATTCCTACCATGTGTACAATAATTTCTGGCTTCTCAATCTCACCTTTTAACAATATGCTTGAAATGTTTAGAGACGTTCTTAATCCTAGCACAAGGAAAGCAGCGAACCAACCTAAATTTACGATCACTGCCAAAGAATCTCCTGTCTATGCCCCTGACAGGAGAGTCCCATATAACAATAATTCTATTAAATCTTGTCAAATACTACCTAACATCAGAATCATTCCAGGTGTCCAATAACTAACTAACTGGCTCTTCCATTTTCCTCAGAGAGACTATCCCTTTTGACAGTTCCAAAAGCTGAATATCTATTTGATAGAGGAGTAGCCACTGGAGACTTTTGAACTATCTTCTTACCTTTCCCAATAGTCACCCATTTTGTCAGACTGATCCTGCTGTGTAATCACTTTTCTAAATCTACTAGTCATTTCACTCTGTACCTCATATGCTCTTAATAACATTAAACCTGAAAAAAGTTTCAATAACAAGCTATATATAAAATAAACTACCTTTCATTACCAAATAAAATAATATTAAAATGGAAAAAGTTAAAAATATATATATATATCGAACATATAGAACTTAAATAAAATCAACCTCTTAGCTGATTAATTGAATTAAAAAAAAGGATTCTTCAATAAATTCCTTGAAGGAAGAAAAACCTTCTCCAGAGCCAACCACGTGTAGGATTCCCTGAAACAAAAACACAATTCCATATTGAAAACACTGTCTGGTTTCCTCAATGTGAAAAAAGCCCTCTTAACCTTTACAATGTGAATTAACCCTTTAAAACACATATAGACTTTAGAATTTAAAAAAGATTCAGCCGGTCACTGTAGCCCCTTAAACACTCGTTCAAAAAAAAGTCTGTTTTAAAAAAAAATTGATTTTTTTTTTGAATGAAACAATATGATTAAAAACCTTAAGTAAAATATAATGACTGTTTGTTTAAAAAAACTATAATAAATCTTTAACTAAGCCTGCAATTCCAGGTGCAATGCATTTGATGTGTCAACTGCAGTTTGTAAATATTGGAACTTATCATCATTTGACCAATAAAACAGTTTGAACACCCAAGTAAGGTCAGTACAACAATACTGTTTGAATATGGGAGTGAAGTAGGCAATAAACAAATAGGCACGTCAGCTTTGAGCATTAAATGTTCAATGACATCACTACCATACTTCATTAAACCAGTCTTCTTATGGCATTAAACATGAGTGGGCTGGGGCAGCATGAGAACAAAACTTATAGTACCTTTCACCAATATTACCATTGCAGCAAATGAATGCCCCAAGTTTTTGAAATGGTAAATTTCTCTTAATACTCTAAAATCCACCATTTCAGGTAACAAGACTGTTTAGAACAAGAAAATGATTGGTAAATAAGCTTCATCACAAAATGTGAAATGACAGACTTAATCAAGTTTCTTTCCTGTACTGTTACTGTCTTCATGTATATGTACTGTGGAGTATGTGAACTTTCATTTGTGGATTCCTACTGGCGTCTAAGTATTTACATTTTGATGTTCATAGATGGCTATGCCAACCTTGCAAAGATTCCAAATTATTTTGTAAAATTCCAGAGTACTCATTTGAAATGGAACTTGGCTTTCAATAACATTATTTTGTGAGACAATTTCTTGCATGCAATTACGTGAATTATGTAGATTATGAATAATCACTCAACTCCAAAAAGTGTTGCACTTTTTTCCTTTACTGATGCTTGTGGTCAGATATGATCAGTCGAGCTTTGGGTCCTGAATTCGGAGGCAGCATTGGAATCATGTTCTTCTTTGCTAATATATGTGGAAGTGCTCTCTATGTCTTGGGACTTGTTGAGTCTATGGTTGACATTTTTGGGTTGTCACCAACAGGTAAGCTAGTAACTTTAAATCAATGTTCTAAATTCTATTTGAGACTTTGCATTTTTTTTTTGTTAAACATTACACACTTAATCATGGGGGCTGGTATTCACGTTACAATGATACATTTTGGCAAATGAAGTTGAAAAAATGAGAATTAGTCAGCTAATATAACAGTAAGGCTCTGATGCCTCCATGCTCTTAGCTTATACTGAAACCACAATTGAATTGAGTTACAGATGGAGCAGGGGAACTTGTCTACCACAGGCTATTCTTATGTATCTTCTGAAATGAGACCATGAGTAGAAAAAAAAAGTCTTAGTATAGAAACAACTCACTTACAGAATTGGTGATGTTTTTGAAAACTCCAGAATGAAGGGTCTATTTTTATCTGGGAGGTGCACATTCATGATGAAGAATGCAATGAGCTCTTCACTTTAACATGAGGGTGGAAAAGGCATGAGAGTGATTTAATGAATTGGTTACTATTGGAGAGAAGCCCATCCTATATGCTGTGAAATTATCTGGGAGTAGTAGCTAGTTCTAGCAGAGAGCATTTTGGCAAGATGCATTATACTTGATGCTATCCAACCAGATCTGACAATGGATGTTTAAGCTTGTAGTTGCCAAGTATGCTTAAATTTGTACTCTGTGATTTGAGGGACAAAAATGGGCTAGCCAGATTGACCAGGTGGATGAGAGAGTTGGCCGAGGTCAAGGGACAAAAGGTGGAAATAAGGGAATTGTCAAACAAATCAAAAATCTCCACAGCACAAGTGGATAGCATGGTTGAAAAAGGCATATGGCATGCTTGCCTTCATCAGTCAGGGCATAGAGGATAAAAGTTGGCAATTTGCATATTGCAGCTGTATAAATTTTTAGTTAGGCCACATTTGGAGTATTGTCTGCAGTTCTGGCCACCACATTATAAGAAAAATGTGGAGGCTTTGGAGAGGGTGCAAAAGAGATTCACCAGGATGTTGTCTGATTGGAGTGTATTAGCTATAAAGAAGAGGTTGCACTTACTTGGATTGTTTTGACAAGAGCGTCAAAGGCTAAGGGGCGACCAGATTAGAAGTATATAAAATTGAGGCATAGATAGGGTGGATATTTGGAGTCTTTTTTTTTCAGAGTGGGAATGTCGAATACTACGGGGTATCAAACACGAGGTTTAAGGTGAGAGTGGAAAAGTATGTCACAGGTTTTTTACACAGGGTGGTTGGTGCCTGGAATGCGCTGCCAGGGGAGGTGGTAGAAGCAGATATATTAGCCAAATTTGAAGCATTCGGACAGATACACAAACAGGCAGGGAAGAGACAGATACAGTCCTTGTACAGGCAGATTGAATTAATTTAGAATGGCATCATGATCAGCACAGGCATGGTGGGCTGAAGGGCCTATTCCTATGCTGTACTGTTCTATGTTCCACATCTGTTGTGGCAGATGCAGGTTGAAAGGCCAAGCGGTTATAGTTGACATGTGATTGACAATCTTTATCTCAGCAACATTGCAGCAAAATTTCTGCTAGTACCCTGTACTGCTGACAAACCAGTCATTCAGGACAGCTTTCATGTACCTGACTTCTAGGGAAAGGCCTGTGAATACCTGAATTATGTTTCTTTTAAACTGTGGGGAAGAACAATTTTTTTTTGGGCCATTTCTGCATCGAAATGGGCTGGATGAATTCATTGGTAGGTTGTGAATGTAATACACGTCTTGCCATTCCATTGTTTGCTGCTGGCAAAACCTGGAACGTCTTCCCAGATGGAAGTGTGAAGCCCGTGACATTCAAGTCCTGCCCTCAACAATGACGGCATGTGGCAGCAATAACTCGAGTTGCATGTCTCCGTAGACAAGTTTTCACATTTGCAGTGAAACACATGTTCATATTGATTGGGACAATAATGTCATTTTGTAAATTTCTACAAATGTTCATGCCAGAGAAGTCAAAGTACAGATACAAATTTTACAGGAAATAGGCCGAACGTTGTATATTGCTAATTGAACCATTGTCTCTTTCAGGGCTAACCACAAGCAGTATTCAGGTTCTTCCTCAGTCCTACTGGTATGAACTTCTCTATGGCACAGTGATTCTTATTTTCTGCCTTCTTGTGTGCTTAGTTGGAGCTGACATCTATGCAAAAGCGTCCTTCATAATTTTCCTCATTGTTATTCTGGTACTTGGCACAATATTCATCAGCTTTTTTGCAGTGTCACCAAAGTCTATTAACATCACAATATCCTTGGGGAATATCTCAGAGGCTTCATTCACTGGATTTAAACTGTCAACTCTGAAGAGTAATCTTCCACGTAAGTTAATCCTAAAAGTAAGTACACAGTAGTAACTTCATTCAAATGCATATAGGCTGAAATGATGTTAGGGCAACAAAGGTTAGTGACTACTTATTGCATCTGTTTCAGCTTCATTAAAATTAAAATGATTAATCAAAACTTATGGCCCAACAGTTTATATATTCAGTCTAATTACTGAAAATAACCATCCACATTGAACTTCTGCTGGCTGCTGCAGAAGACAAATTGTACTTTTTCTTCAGTATATTACTGAAAAGTGATGCATGCTGCCAAAGCTTTTTACATTGGACATATCAAGATGAATGCAAATTACAAAATTTCAAACTATCACAATAATTTGAACTGCAAGAGGAAAGGGTGCTGTTGGGTTGACGTTGCCCTGGAGAAAGTAACAGGGAACCAAATATTGGTACAAGGTTTGAACACACATTCTCTGCAAACAAAAGTTCTCTGCATACAAAGGTATGGCACTCTTAGCAAATGTAAATGAGCCATGTTGTGAGCTCGACTGGTCCTAATTAGTTGTTAGAATAGCTATTAGCCAATGTGTGCGAGACAAAAAGCTATGGCTACATGTCTCTCATCAACAGTCTTCAAGTTCTGTACTACCAGTAAAATGTTTTCTTCACTCCACTCAAGCAGTAATTTTTCCTTCTAGCTGACCAATTTTTTTTTCCATAACATGAGAATTACTTGTGATTAAAATTGCTCACATCAGGATGAACAGACCCAAACCTTTTTGCAAAGATTGATAAAATAGTGTTTTTTTCCTGGAAATTCATGTTATAGCAGTCAGCTAACTTGCAAGGTTGAAATGAGGTAAGCATACAAGCTGATACAGATTAATTAAATTGTTATTAATTTCTCCCAAGTGTAGCCATGTTATGCTGCATACTTCTATTCAGGGTGTGAAATCATGTATTGTTATTAGATCATTATTGTTCTGTTAGTATCCCTGAGTGTACTTGAGTAACATTCCCAGATTGGTCACGAGCTACAAAATTGTAGCCGCAAGCTCATTCCAATTAGTATCAACCTAGTCTTGGATGAATCTGATATCTTCGTTCATACTGAACCATGAAACCACTTTACTTTTAACTGGGGCGATTTCTTGAGGAATGGGAGGGGAATATTAGGTTATGGTATCTATTTGTGCATTCTTTGTCATTCTAAGTATGTGGAGCCAAGCTGCGAAGGAGAGGAAAAGCATAGACAGCATTTGCTATTTTTCACCCATCGTATGTTATAATACAAATTTGTTTTTTTTCTCTTTTCTGAAAAAAGCTATAGTTTTTCCTTCAATTTCTTTCCGTAGCTCAATATGTAGAAGACTACACAACTGGCAAGGTGATGAGTTTCGCTGCTGTCTTTGCAGTAATGTTCAATGGGTGCACTGGTATCATGGCTGGATCCAACATGTCAGGTAAAGTCCAAACAAATACTTGAAGTGCAATATAGGTATAAATGTATCCATAAATTTGCTAACTATACATTGCATGTACATCAATTAAAATGAATTTTGAAGATTTTGGAACATAGTCTCCTGTTCCGTGCCTCCATTCGGAAAGCATCAAGTTTCGAATGCCTTGTTGATGCCACATTGCATGGACCATAAGATTTATTACACAGTAGTTTGTAAGGATTGTGTTCTCAGTATATATTACCATGTTTATTATGGTGCTAAATCCATAGTGGCACATTTGTTGCTAAATCATTTGTTAATGATATTTGGTGTTTGCAGATATCTGCTTTCTATGCATCATGAAAAATTCAATGAAGTTTGGGTAACAAAAAAGTTAACTGAAGCTGTAAATCCTTACTTTAATGTCCTTTTCAGGTGATTTAAAGAACCCCAGCTATTCTATTCCCCGAGGCACTATTACAGCAGTAATTTTTACATACATCATATATAATATTTTATGTCTCATGATCAGCTGCACTTGTGAGAGGTGAGTCTAATTTTAGTTGTTATATCTTAAACCCTTAATGATAAATAAACTATTCCTTGGTGAGGCTAGTACAATAGGCACTGACACTCTGCCATTTTACATTATAGTTAAATGGAATTATGATTTCAAATCAAAAGTGTTGCAAGTATGTTGACATTCAATGGTGTTACTATCACTGAATTCCCCCCACTATCAACATCCTGGGTGTTATCATTGACCAGAAACTCAACTGGACTCACTACATAAACACAGTGGCTACAAGAGCAGGCCAGAAGTTAGGAATACTGCGGCGAGTAACTCGCCACCTCACTCCTCTAAAGCCTGTCCACCATCTACAAAGCACAAGTCAGGAGTGTGATGGAATACTCCCCACTTGCCTGGATGAGTACAGCCCCAACAACACTCTAGAAGCTTGATACCATCCAGGACAAAGCAACCTGCTTGATTGGCACCACATCCACAAGCATTCACTCCCTCCATCACTGACGCTCAGTATCAGCAGTGTGTACTATCTACAAGATGCACTGCAGAAATTCACCAAGGATCCTCAGACAGCACCTTCCAAACCCATGACCACTTCCATCTAGAAGGACAAGGGCAGCAGATAGATGGGAACACCACCACCTCCAAGTCACCCACCATCCTCACTTGGAAATATATTGGCATTCCTTCACTATCACTGGGTCAAAATCCTAGCATTCCCTGCCTAATAGCATTGTGGGTCAACCCACAGCAAGAGGACTGTAGCGGTTCAAGAAGGCAGCTCACCACCACGAAGGGCAACTAAGGATGGGCAAGAAATGCTGGCCAGCCACCAACATCACATCCCACAAATAAATAGGAAAAAAAACATGTTCTATTGTTGCTGTTCCTGCTTTAAAAAATTATTGTAATAGCCACCTCTTTAATTGTGTTCTTGAGACAGTGCGCTTAATTTTGAGGCACTCAAATTAACATTGAAATGTATCTGTGCTCTTTGACGTAAACTTAAATCCCCTGCAATGTTTTGTTGAATTTCCTCCCAAACAATTCAGTTGATGTTGTTGTACACAGGTTAGTCAGCCAGACCAAATCAGACCCGCTAATATTGGATTCACAACACTGTGAAGTTAAAACATTCAATGACCCTCAAAATTGCCCAGTTGTTCCTAACCAGACTTTAAGAATAGCAAATTCAGACACCAAGGTAAAACTTAGAAAGAAATTAACAATTTATTAAGACTGTAACTGTAACAGAGCAAGGCTAAACAACATGGTGATCTAAATGGCCTCTCTGATTGTAACCCCCACAGACCGACACAGTTAAGTGATAAATTAAAAAGAAAATAAGAGTTGTCATTTGCCAGTTACGTAACTGTTTCAAAGAGATCCTTGAACGATGTGTTGTATTCCAGGCACATGGGATTGTATCTTGCTTGATTTCCAAAGTCACCAGTCAATGCAGACAGCATTTAGCAGGCTCTGAGGAATATTGACTCATTTCTTATAAACTGGTGGTCTTTCCTCAGAACATTCAATAATTCTTGAACTGAATATGAGTAGATAGAGTAAAATGCAAATGCAGCTTCCCAGTCCAATAGCTTCTGAGCACATACCCTTCTGCCCCAAAAAACCCAGTCAAACATCAGTTCAATTTACAGTTTGTTTTTGCCACATTCTCTGTGGTTGCATGTCCAACACCGGCCTCCTATTGCTTGTCCAATGCAACATCCAAGCAGCTGCCAGTCCTTGAGAGTAACATGCCCTGGTGCTGAAATATCTGCAATGTTCTTCAAGCAATAATTAACCTGCAGTTAACTTTCCAGTCCAGTTCCTATAAACAAATATCAGTTTGTTTGTGCTCTCCTCCCTTCAAAAACAAGCTGCTGCCCAAAATTAGATTGACAACGGCAACTCTCAATTCCAACCAAAAATAGAACAAAAAAGAAAAACGGTGATGGTCTCAACAATGTTGACAATCTAAGATTGTTTCTTAATTTAAAAATAATTGGCAAACAAAAGAATGATATTTGGAATGAGCTGCTGTGTTCAAAGATTATTTATGTCAGGGTTCTCTTCAAAGATTCATTAACCAGCATATTCCCTTGGGGGGAAAAAAACCCACTGCTTTAATATTTATTGTGTTACAGAAAATTGTCATTTTAAACAGTGGTGGTTGTTCAGTAATATTTTATATTGTTAACTGTTCTGTTATTGTGTTATCAAAAAAAATGCATTGCATTGCAAAAATTTGTATATTTGGAAAGAATATTACAGATGTAACCATCTTGTGTTAATGAAATAACCTGAAAACCTTTGTGCAGCAGAGCACGTGGATAGATAGCTTGAGCTATGCTTGGACCCAAAAGCAAAGCAATTCTACAACTATTAAAATATGTTGTGCAAAGATTATTGTTAGGACGGGGCTAGATGTATGCACCAGTTTTTTTTTTTATTGTGTTTTTGTTTGTTTTGGCATGTGAGTATCTCTGACAAGGCCAACATTTGTTTTACTGGCACCTTGAACCTCTGTAGTCCATGTGGTGTAGGTATTCCCGCAGTGCTGTTAGGGAAGAAATTTTCAGATTTTGACCCAGTGCCATTAAAGGAACAGTGATTGTGTTTCTGAATCGATGTTTCCTAGCCATTCAACAAACGTACAGATTGTGGTGTTCCCATGTATCTGTTGCTTTTGTCCTTTTGCATGGTAGTGGTCATGAATTTGGAAGATGCTATCTGAGGAAGCTTGGTGAATTTTTGAATTTCTGCAGTGCATTTTGTAGATGGTACACAGTACTACTGAGCGTTGGTGGAGGAAGTGAATGTTTTGTGGATGTGGGGTTAAACAAGTATGCTGCTTTGTTCTGGATGGAGTCAAGCTGCTTATGTTGGAGCTGCACTCATCCAGGCTAGGGGGAATTATTCCATCACACTCCTGACTTATGCCTTGTAGATGGCAGATAGGATGTGGAAGGTGGAAGACCAGCTACTTGCTGCACAGTTATCGTCTGACCTGTTCTTGTAGCCACAATATTTAGATGACTAGTTGAGTTTCTGGTCAGTGGTATTCTCCCAGGATGTTGCTGGCTTGGAGGAGTACTTATAGCTGATGATATTGCCTTGTCTGATCAATTTATGATCAATGGTAATCCACAGGATGCTGATGGTAAGAGATTTGGTGACAATAATATGTCAAGACGAGATGGTTAAAATACTCAGAGATAGTAGGAACTGCAGATGCTGGAGAATCCGAGACAACAAGGTGCAGGGCTGGATGAACACAGCAGGCCAAGCAGCATCATAGGAGCAGAGAGGCTGACGTTTCGGGCCT